TTTTTTTTTTTGGTTTTTTTTTTATCTACTACCTTGATGCCCCCCCCCCCCGCCCAAAGAGGTCATTCCTGGTCTCTCTCCTCGTTTAGACTAATAGTTGCTATTCTTTTCTTAATTCACTGTTTGAACTGCCGACTGCCTCCTTTCTCCACCTTGAGGTGTGGGATATTTTAAGGTTTTTGCCTCAGGCTTGAAAGAGTTCATTGCAAATTGCTACCTTGATGACCTCAGAAAGCCCGCTAACTGGTTTCTAATCGTCCAGCAAGGCGTGAGCTGCAGCTGTTGACCTCTGGTCACAAGGGACTCCGAGTGATTACAAGAGACGGCAGCCAGTTGCACATGATGTGGGAATAATTGTCTTTACAATTACCATTTGTTCTATATGATCAGTCTAACTGCAGGTAGGTCAGGTGTGTGTACATATGATTAAAATCTCACTTGAAAAACAATACCTGTCAATAACTAATAATCATACTTACCCATTCTGTCATTATGGACCATTATGGGATCTGTTGATGTTTGCTCACACGAGGCACAGCAACAGTTAATGGTCTAGGTCTCAGAGGAATGCATGCACCGTCACGCTTTCCCTCTTTGCATCGGACACCTGGCCCTCTTTCAGTGCCACCGTGCCATTTACATCTCAAAGGGGGACAACCAAGAAGGCTCTCTCTGTGCTCCCTTCCTTACTCCAGAAATGATCTGATTTATCTCTTCATCAACGGAAATATATGCCTTTGGAGGGCCATCCCGCCCGTCTCATCCCCAGCTAACCGAGATGGCAGAGGGAGCAGTAAAAAGAAAGACTTGTGATCCTCCGTGTGATCCCAGACCCAACGGACCCCTGTCACAGTGCTTGATTCATGTGATGCGGGTGACTTTCTCTCTGCTCCCGGGCTCAATGTGTTAAGGCGCAGAGGGGGTGGATGGCATAACGCAAAGCAAAGGCGCCTGTGTTCCTGAGGTATCCGATTCCCACGTTTGATGGAGCATGACAGGTTGGCTCAGGTCAAATTAAAAGGCCACAGTAACAAATATGAGGGCAGACATTTTGATCGTCTGTGCAGGTGAACTTTCCATGGCAGAATAAAAAGTTATTTATTGCACTGACGGAAAACATTAGTCCTTGTGGCATTGAGAGAGGGGGGCGTCCCTGTGCGAGAGCCAGGGTGGATAATTGAATCATCCCTGTGTTGTTCTTTCAGTGTGCACCTCTTCTGTTCATCGGCCAAAGGAAAGGAAAAAAAACTCCCTTTTATCATCCGCTTGTAGCATTATGGATGACTGTTCTTTTCTGAATCAGACCTTTAAAGCTAATCATTTATAACTGCTCTTTATTTCTGCAGCATTGTAATACGTTTGTCATAAATACTACTTGCCTCCAAGTCTCTGGCGCTGCTACGACAGCTCTCTCTCCAGACATAGCTTTATAAATATTCTCCATCCTCTGGCTCTCGGCTATGTTTGACCACCCTAAACATAAACTACTGTTCCAACATTATCAGGCATTTATAACATTATTTAAATCTGGAGCTGTGCCTGCAGACTTAGCTATTCCATCATGACATATATAAGGCTCTGTGTACCTTGGACTAGAGTTTTGGCACCTATGCTGTTTCCACCGTATGATTTTGCTTCCATTTATGGTCTACTTATATAAATGGTTAATACTTAGCTGGTACATTCAACATAGAATAACAACTAAAAATCCTCATGGGTGCATTTAGTAAAATACCTTAAATGTCATCACAGTTCTCATTCATCAGAGACCATACGAAAGTTATTCAGGGCTGAACTTAATGTTTGACTTTATAAATATTTGGATTTGACCCTCCCCTTTAATAGCAAAAATGCAACAACCTCCAACCTAACTTCTCAACTTGGCCCCCGATTTTAAGTTCAATTAATATATTAATAGAACAATCACTTTTTATGGAGCCCAAATCACACGATAGTAGTGGAATGAATTGCCAAAATAATGAAAAATAAGAAATAGTGCATTTTGTTTACAGGGGCACAGGCGGAAGTGTTTCAGCACTATAACGTTTTTGCCTCACCCAATAGTAAGTATTTTGTTGATCGTGCATTATACTATAGGGTAACAATATATTCAATTTGACCATAGTTCTGTTATAAAGGGAAGTGAAGTTGACTGTTGGCTAAGGGAAAAAACTGTGCCTTCTAGAGAGATAATCTTCAATTAGTATTAACTAAAACTAAAAAGATCCACATCCACTGCCTCAAAACTGACGTAGCGGTGCTACTTACAGCTAGAAAACATGATTGTTGTTCCAACTATTTTGAACCCAAAACTTGGGCATGGACAAAATAAAATAAATTGAAGGTCATCCTCCTCGTAGCTCCCCCCCCTTTTTCATAAAGTCCCTTAGCACAACTTAAGAAACGAGCCATTTAGTGGTTTTAGGGGGTTCAAATCACATGAAGCAACAAGGTGAGATCTAAACATGCGGGTGAGTGGTAAAAAGGTAAGTGAGGCATAGTAATTGTGTCCGCTAATCACCTGCCCGCTGCTGCGCCTACAGGGTATTTCAGATCCAAACGATGGGTGTGAGGGGGTTATGTGGGGGTGACTGCTGCACACCTGCGTGTCTGTCATACACCTTGAGGAGTTTTAGGCGTTTCATTTAATCTCCATCAGTTGCCCCCCCCCCCCCCCCCCCCCCCTGCACCCATCCTCCTGACCT